ATATCTCTCACCATGAACCATGCTTGTATTGAACTTCACTTTCGGTGTCCCTTATGGAAAGATGACAGATATTATCTTGTCCCTCCGAGGTACGCTCATGGAGATTTGAAGTAGCCGAGAAAAGAAATGTGGATATCGCCAGCGATTTTCGCCGAACTTCTGTAGGGCTTGGAAATCACCGAAGATAGGTATCATACGGCTTTTCCATCGCACCCATAAAATAGTCATGTGAAAACTGGGATTCTGTGGGCGTCGAGATCTAGGACATAACCTTTCGAATATCGCACTCTTCTAATTATTCAGTTTACGGGGCTTCATGTTTTGTAGAGACAAGGACTAATATCAACATGCATTGGAAAGATCTTCCGGACTGGGAGAATATACCAGAGGTGGCAGGCCTACCAAAGGGTTGTGCATGGGGTCTCTTCGACAAAGGTGATGAAAGAGACCAGGTCGGTACATTGAACCTACTCACCCCCGACGTCGTATTGAATGCGAAGAACGAGATTGAATATGGTGAAAGTGTATGCCTCAAGTATGCGAACATGAAATATTTTTTACTTGTGCATGCTGTTTCCTGACGCACTCATCATAGTTGGAACCTCGAACACGCCCAAGTTCCTGCTGTCAACCGGAAACAGTTTGAACATAAAATCATCAGTCTCCGTCATCTGGGTTACACGGCATACGATGATGAGATCACCATAAATACGCAGAGTGGAAGTCAATGGGATGGACTGAGTGCGACAACAACCCAAATTCGCGCCGAGAGTAGAGAGGGCTTTTGCTGATATTTTCCACGCGCAGGACACTGGGGACACCAAGCTACAGGTCTTCACTACAACAATTTAACCCATGAAGCCATCCAAGATGTTAAGTGCAAAGACAACTCCATTCATCGTATGCATTGGTCCATCCATTCTTTTCCTTGTTGGAGTGTTTGTGGCTGATTGAAGACCGGCCTCCTAGATTGGAGCTTGCGAGGGGGGATCGTGGGACGGGGTGTGCTGATCGACTATCATACGTGGGCAACACAGCAAAAAATCAATCATCCAGCCACTGAAAGGACATCGATTTCGGTCAAAGACATTGAGGAGGTCGCAAAGTTTCAAGTGACCGAGTTATGCCCGGCGGACATCTTGATCATCCGCACTGGATGGACGGCGTGGTACAATGCCGCCTCGGAGGCTGGGCGTCGCGCTGGGACGACAGGAGACGAGCACATTGGATTAGAAGGTACACAAGAGACGGTGAAGTGGCTCTGGAACAAACATTTTGCGGCCGTTGCCTCTGATACATTGGCTTTCGAAGCGTGGCCCACCAAGCCACCTCATAGTGAGTATATTCGATAGCCCCCCTTTTTTCGAGGTCGAGCTCGCCGCTGACTGCGTCATCAGGTTTGCACGACTGGTTGCTGGCCATGTGGGGATGTCCCATCGGAGAACTCTGGGACTTGGAAAAGCTGGCGGAAAAATGCCAGAAGTACAAGAAATGGTCGTTTTTCCTAGCGAGTGCGCCTCTACATGTTGAAGGAGGTGTGGCATCACCTCCGAACGTCGTAGCTATACTATAACCCTATTCGAATGACTTTTTTCTATTTCAAGACTGTTATGGTGTTTAATTTCAGTTTCCCTTCGAAGCAAGACTTCTGTACCTAAAGTTGTAGCTAAGATATCTGCGAATGGTTCGTCATGATTCCCGCCTGGGAACAGGGACGAGGCTAGGAGACTTTGATTCGCCGTTACTTCGGACCCACGGCATTTTTCGGTGATTTACAGAAAATCCCCGCCCGCACATTTTGGCTAAGAAGGCCCCTGTTTCCTCCTAGAGCCAATAAGACATTCAGAATTCGCCTTCTCTTTCTTTCTTTCTTATGGATCTCTGCGGGAAATAATTGATTCTGGTCCTTTCGATTCTCGGATCTATGTACTATGTTCTACCTGGAATCTTAACCCCAGGACGGAGGCGCATGAACAAGATCCAATGGAAGTCTCGTACACTTCATGCCGCGTCAAAATCCCTTTCGGCTGTTTTGCCTACCCTCGATCTCAACGTCGTCCACCCTTCGAATCCACCGGCGGTTCAATACTAGTACCCTCTAGCTTCTTGTCTGCCACGTCTAGTTCTCCAGCAATGACATCTGCCGGTATCTGATCTGGTGTGGTGTTCACAAGCAAGATCATGGGAATCAAGGCAGCCCCCAACAATCCAAACGTGACACAGCTATTCACAGGTTGTCAGCCTAAATATGGTTTCACCAAGATTTGGATTAGGGTTCAGACGACGTACAATCCTACCAGAGGGTCGGCCTGGGTCTGCGAGTTCATGCCGTAGGCAATGGCTTGGCCGACTGCTTCTATACACCTGAATGCCGCACCGTTTCGGACGTTGTCTGTACGTTGGTCAGATCTCCCGCATCTTGTACCTCAATATGGTTGTGTGGTATAACAAAGACTGCATACCTTGTGCATTTGTGGCAAACGACGACAGAAGCCAGTACATGTATGACTGAGACAGCGGGCCCGTGGTCTGCACGAAGAAATACGGGAGGAAGGACGAAGGGTACACCCCGCTGTCCCAATCGATGTGCCCCGGGTCATGTCGATTGAACTTGGCTTGCATCACGATGGACCAAATGTAGACAGCCACATTCAAAATAACGACGGTATACAGGCCGAGTTGGGCACGTCGACGTTGGTTGAGGCTCTTCATATCAAGGATGAAGCCGAGACCGAAACAGCCGACACTGAAAAAAATGACGGGTAAGTACGAACCCCAGAAAGGCTACACAGAATAGGATGGGCCAAAGGATTCAGGACATACATGCAAAAGAACGGAGAGATCAGAGATGACAAAGCCCGAGCGCGGACCGTGAAGTGGATGGCCAAATAAGTCGACCATGACCCACTGAGTAACACTGTCAGCAAGTGATTCGTTCGAGCGCACTCGGTCAACAACGCCAGCGCTCACCTGTAAAAGAACGACCACATGGCCCAGAGTGCAGAAAGAAGTACGAGCTTTGAGGTCATTGTCTTGACGATACGCTGAATTTCGTGTTTCGTCGACAGCGTCTCGGAAGTGACAATTCGAGTGCCATCAGACCTGACAACTCGCTCAAACGGCAAGATCAAGAAGGCAAATGGCAGACTGTTGGAGCCGATTAGTGCTGATTTCTCTTACAAAACCCTTGTCCCACACCCACGTATGACTTACGCAAGAGCCTCGATGATGAGGAACGCAATGTAGGTGTCAGGAGTCACACCGCCACTAACCCCCTTGACGTGGTTTTTTGAAAGATTGATTGCCCCTCCGACGAGCTGTCCTAGGTTCCGAGACACGATCCACAGTGCAAGATATTTGCCACGCGACCGAGAGGGTGCCAGCGTCATGATGGCCCCGGCTTCTGCAACATACCAGCAGCCCGTGCCCACACCGCCGATGGCACCGCTGAGGATGAGGTACCATTGATTACCGAATTTTGAATTGCAATAGTACGCAGACCCCTGGATGGGAAAAGAGAGGGAACCAATTACCAGTGCCCACTTCACCCCGATCTTGTTCACGATGGGACCGCCGAGGCCGCAGGCTGGTCACATACTTTGTTAAAAAGGGGACGGCGAAAAGATGTCTGCTTAGGAATATACGTACTGATTGCCAGTAGTGCATACCGAATGGCAGTTGAAATGTTCGACACTGTGGGCGTCGCGAGGCCACCTATGTATTGTCCCATAGTGAGCAAAACTCCATTTTGCAGGATGTCCCAAGATACAGAAGAACAACCACCGGGGGTTGTGATGGTGGTGTTACCCTAAATGCTTACCCCCTCCTAAACCAGCAATAGCATCTGACATGGCTGGTCCGCAGAATGCTTGAACGCTCAGGAGCATCATCTGAGTCAAACTGTGTCTCCAGACCCGTTGTCAGAGTGGCACGGTTGATCTGTATGCTTCCATGTCGGTGGAGGGAATGACCTCACCGAGGACGATTTCTTCTGTGGTATCTGTCATTTTGGTGCCGGCTGTTGTGTCTTGCGTAGGTAGATGAAGTTGCGACTGAACAAGGAGCTGAGTATGCTACCGCCAGCAAGAACATATATACGTATATATATATTCATATTATGAAATACCCCGCGCACCCCCGGAGGGAGCATATGTGCTGACGATCACCAAACCTTTCAAGGATGGTTGGGAAGGTACAAGCGTGCTCGTTGATCTAGTGGGTCATCAGCTAGCATGACCCCTGGAGATCACAACAACGCCCACCCCCACGACGCCGGAAAACAGCCCCGAAAATGTTACTCATCCACTCACTGTGCCAGACTCTACGCGATGTGGACCTGACCAAGGCCAGTGCCAGTGGTGGCAAGATCAACCAGCTCGGCCGGCGTCGTCTTATCGAATAGTGGCGAGGATTCCCATGGTCTCACGGATGATGTCTTGATGTGACAATTTCAGAGCGAAGTGCTGTTATGGCTTGTGATCACAGGCATCGTTGGGTATCCTGGGAACATGGCGAGGAGCACCAAGAAGAATGGAGACATCCAAGTGTGACAGAGGCCTTAATGGGAAATCCTTCACCAAGTCCTCTTTGTCACCGTCGTCTCTGATTCGACCGGCTTTCAGTTCAGCGTACACAGCACAATCCGGATACGGGGTAAAACTAGACGGTGGAGACGGATGAATTAATCCGAAGTTTACGCCGCTCTGTGGGGGAGGGGTATTTTAACCGGATAAGGCTCACCAGAAGAAGCCCAGCGAGACTAGCCACGACAATACAAAGGTACTCCGTAGTAGGTTTCGCTTTGACCTTCCTTGGGCTTAAAAGCCTTAGGAGAAGGCAGGACCCGGCTCTGAAGGAGGCATGATGGATTGCCCTGACCATTGTTGTCATTCTGCTTTATTCACGTTCGATTCGCTATAACTCGATTGCTTCCCATAGCTTAGGGCAGAGCATCAATAGAAGAGAACGCAAGAAAGAGAGAAGGGAGAAAAAAGGCAACCATGATGCCTGGGGTCTCCGAGTTGAGTCATTCTTCCAGTATCCTGATCATAGGGGCTGGAACGTGGGGAGTGTCGACAGCCCTTCATCTCGCTCGGCGAGGCTATACAAATGTCACAGTCCTAGATGAGTACCCTCAGCCATCCCAGATTTCCGCAGGTAACGATCTGAACAAGATCTGTTCCTTCGGTAAGTTCTTTATAGAACGGAACCAGCATCGCCTAGATTGCTTACGACTTTCCTACAGTCAATCCACCAGATGAAAGCGACAAGGACTATGCCAATCAGATCTTCTTTGCGGCACTTTCGAAGGGGTTTAAGGAGGATCCAATCTTCCAACCGCATTTTCACGAAGTCGGCATTGTAATGTCGGCCCTTTCACCGGGTGGCCTTCAGCAAATCCAAAAGCGGAACCAGGAAGGCTTCGACATGACTGAGTTGAACGAACCCGAAGACTTCCAGAAAACGATGCCATCCGGTATTCTGACAGGTCCGGTGCGTGGGTGGAAAGGTTTCTGGAGAAAGAACGGAGCAGGTTGGGTTCACGCACGAAATGCACTTCTCTCGGCCATCGTTGAGTCGCAGAGACTTGGGGTCAATTTTAACTGCCGGTATCCTCAGGGCAAGGCTGTCAGACTACTGCATCGCAATCCAGACCCCACCAATAATAATGGATTGACAGGAGATGTGATAGGGGTGGAGACACAAGACAACAAGAGATATTTCGCATCGCGTGTCATTCTGGCCACTGGGGCGAATTCGGATCAGTTCCTCGATTTCAAAAAGCAGCTTCGGCCGACAGCCTGGACACTGGCCCACATTCGAATGTCACCAGAAGAGGCCAAATCCTATGCCAACTTGCCTGTGCTGTTCAATGCAGACCAGGGCTTTTTCATGGAGCCCGACCAGGATAACCACGAGTTGAAGATTTGCGACGAGCATCCGGGGTACTGCAATTGGGTGATTGGTGCCGACGGAGAGCGACGGAGTGTACCATTTGCACGCCAGCAGATTCCTATCGAATCAGCCAAACGAATTCGTGCACTCCTTCGAGCCACAATGCCCCAACTGGCAGATCGACCCTTCTCCTTCGCGCGTCTTTGCTGGTGTGCCGACACAGTGGACCGAAATTTTCTGATCGACTTTCATCCAGACCATCCGTCACTGCTCTTGGCCGTTGGTGCCTCAGGTCGCGGATTTGCTCATATCCCTTCTATCGGCGGGTTCATTGCTGATCGCCTTGAGGGTCGCATGGAAGCCAAGGTGGCCGCAGCCGTTCGTTGGCGACCCGAGCAGGCGTTGAACCGTAATTGGGACGACACGCTGAATCGGTTCGGAGGACAATACAAAGTTATGAATCTTCAGGAGATAACAGAGTGGACAAACATTCCTAACGGTTATACTGAGAGCCTTCTCAACACCAAGAATCCTTAAGAATGAGTCGGCGCCAAGAATGAGACAGGGATTTAAAGTACATATGAACCGCGCAATAACTAAGCATTCGAAACCGACGCCAGGAGCGTGTGTGCTGACTAGATTTAATTTACGAATGAGAAGCTTGGTTATTGTAATATGGAGGAGGAAAGTATTGTATTCACAAAAGGGGCAGTGTGGGGTCCCTCCGGCTTCCCCCATTGCAGACGGAGCTTTCCGAGTCACGTGCCATTTAAGATTCCTTGGCACTTGCTTATCTCGCTGACGACGTTCATTCCACATCTAACGTCGAGCAGACCTTCATGCAGCAATATCTGCAATGACAATTCAACTTGACCTCTTCCAGGAGAACGTCCCTGCTCGAAACGCGCATCAGTTTCCTAAAAGGGAACGCCTTGCTCTCGATGTCAAACATCGTTGATTATCGACCTCTGGCTCCTCATCAGCCCCGCTCTCCATCCCCTCAATCAACATCTCTCACAAGCAGGAGGGACAGAATTGTCACCACAGAGAGGCAGAGGGCGGCTCGAGCGTTAGAATCTTGACATCCCAAGCAGCTGTGATATTGACTAATGGACGAAATAGATGTGACAGTTGTCGTCGAGCCAAGGAAAAATGTATTGGAGTTCCATGTAGACGATGTGTTCGTCTCGAGCGTCAATGCGAATTCAAGAACGTGGGTGTTACGAGACGCACAATTCCAAAGAAACGCAACTCCAGGTCTGTCGCTTCGCCAACGGCGTCCAGGAGAATCAATGACCTTACTAATCTCAACACAGTCGCTCCGTCGATGATGGCGTGGCGCGCGAATTTCATGAACGCATAACTTACCTGGAGCGTATCATTAAGCATTACGCACCCGGCCTCGACTTACGAACGGAGAACCTGCGTCAAAAAGCGCGTGATCTTGCGCCGGAGGACTTTGATCCTGCTGAAGACGTCTCAGGCAGCCCATCGATCGATTCCAACGCGGATGTGACCATTCAAGATGAGAGCTGTACTATAAATGCTGTCAACGACATAATTGCACGTCTGTTGCCCGAATTCAGAACTCTCGATATGATTCTAACTATCTTTCAGATTATTCGGGGGAGTTTTCCTACTGGAATTTCTCTATGCGCCTCAACAAGGAAGTAAAAGACCTGATCGTAAGCTACCACCAAGCCAACATTGGTCAATAATACTGAGGGTTGTCATGTAGGGCAGCGAAGATCAGCAAGACATACCACATTATTGGCGAGTGGGACAACTCCATTCAAGCTCGACTGCTGTGTCAGAAGCGCTTTCCAACCTCCCACCCCTCCCAATCGCTAATTTTCTCGTGCACGTCTTCCTCAAACATGCAGCAAGTAATTACTTTTACTTTGACTCGCACTGGCTACTGGAGAAGCTGAACATCATGTATGGAAAGCCTCCTGAATTGACATCGAAGGACGCTGGTATTGTGGCAATCATACTTGGCGTTCTAGCCATCGGTACTCAATACGCGCACCTCGAGTCACCAAGAAATGTTCGAACACGAAATGGCCCACAAAGTCACAGAGAAGACGAGCTTGGTGACGTATTCTACCAACAAGCAGTCCGTTTGTTGCCTGAGGTAATCCATCTGGGCTCTCTAGAAAGTGTCCAAGGGTGTCTGCTGTTTGGCTTGTATGCATTGCCCATAGATGCATCTGGGCTGGGCTACATCTATTTGAATTTGGCGATGAAATTGGCTATGCAAAACGGGATGCACCGCCGAACACCAGACCACGTCTTCGCACCGGAAATGACTGAGAGGCGAAACAAAATATGGTGGACAGTGTATTGTCTCGAAAAGTATCTATGCGACTCGTGTATCAGGCCATTTCCGTGACTAACAGTGTCGCAGAAAGATAAGTATTTATCATGGTAGACCTATCTCCATTCGCCCGTCGGATATCGATGCCGAGTTACCTCGTGAAGAGCCCGAACTGCAGGTGGCAGAACCGTCGTCGAATATCTCGAGTTTACTCACATTGGTAAAGTTGATGGATTATCTTGGGAAGTTCGCGGATGATATGTGAGTTGGAAGCTATTAGACTAACGGGATATGCTAACACAACCTTTGCAGCTTGATGCTCCGTACTGGCCCCAGATCACAAGCCCCTGATCTCTTTACACGACTGAAGTCCAGAAGAGATGAACTCAAACGATGGTGGGATGCCTCATCACTTAAGAGCCAACGCTTGTCACGTTCGCACGTACATTTGCAACTCGAGTACTGTCTCCTGCGGATGTTTCTTGGACGACCTTTTCTTGTAGGCCGCGATGTCCCTGGCCTGAGTCCAGGGGTCGCGTCTGAAGATCCTATGATCCGGGAAAGCACTCTGCCTGAGGGAGAGCGCGATTGGACACAGCACCCTCAGCGGAAGTCGCGTGCATCTGCCTTTGTGGATGACTGTGTCGTAGCTGCAACCGAAGCCATTGATCTCTGTCAATCTCTGCTGGACGAGGGCGCCGGCTTGGCATCTGTTTCATACATTGAGTATAGTTCCTGCAGGGCCTCCCTCCTTGTTCTCATCGCATTTTGCATCCGGACTCAGACTCTTCAATACTACGATCATCAGCAAAAAGGGCTACAAATGATTCGAGATATGGCAACCACGGGTGAATCTGCAAGGCACGAAGTCTTGTTGATCGAAGCCCTTGATCGGGCATTGAAACGCCTCCATCTCCTGGACCTCAGGAACCAATCCAACAAGTCCTCCGAGACGCAACGTAATATTAACTACGACGACTTTAAACAATGGGAAACGGCATGGAAAGCAGGGAGCGCTACGGCAGAGTTGGGACCTTCACAGGGACAACTTGCTTCTATGACAGCCCAACAACGGTACTCTCATGGAATGGACCGACAGGTTCATGAGGCCAAACAGGTCACTGGAGATACTGCTAACTTCGCCAACAAGATGAGATATGGGCAAGCGGACCTCGCAAGCAACGAGCCTTATATTGTCTCCCAAGACCGGCCGCCCGTCGCACAGGAAAATACCTTTGTTGACTGGAACAGCATGCAAGCGGGACCGAATGTGTTCTACGACCATATCGAAGAGCAATTGTTAGAAAACTTTCTCGCCATTCCTGAAGATGAATTCTCATTTTCCACAGGATTGGACACGAGACAGCAAACGGACGCTTTTGGGACCATGAATTGGGGTGAAAACTAAGAACTTCGTCAACTACATCATGCCGGGATGTAATAACGCGTTGTGGTCCTAATTTTCTCTATATCTTGGCACCCGAATGAAGAGTCAGGGTTCCTGTTTTGGCAATCAAGTATTCTTCGATGGCGACGTCCTTTCCTGCTTCCTTTCCATATCCAGACTCTTTAATTCCCCCGAACGGCGATTCGGCGCACGAGCTATTACCTGTACACAAGTTTATTAGCAAGAAATGCAAGGGTACGTGTTGGACGGAAAGGGGTATACCTGAGTTCATTCCGATCATTCCAGCATCGAGGTCTTCAAGTAATCGCCAAGTGCGATCCACATCCTTGGTGAAGAAGTAAGAGGCCAGGCCCATACTTGTATCATTTGCAAGCCGGACTGCCTCCTCCTCGGTATCGAAGGCATATAATGCCAGCAGAGGTCCAAATATCTCCTCTCTATACGACAGCATCTTCGGCGTCATGTCTGACAATATGGTCGGCTCAAAGAAGAAGCCTTGCAAACCTTCTGGCTGCTTCCCACCGAGGAGGACTCGGGCTCCATTATTCTCGGCATCAGTGACGTGGAGCATCAGTTTATCCACGGCTCGGGGGGTCGTCAGCGCGCCCATTGTAGTTCCAGCTGCGCTGCCGTGGCCAACCCGTATCTGCTTGGTCGCCTCAACGAGCATCTTTTCAAACTTGCTAAAGACGCCTCTTTGGACAAAGACTCGATTTGCGTGTGTGCAGGCCTGGCCACAAGTTCTCCACTTCAAGATCTTCAAAGCATCTAGCGCTGCCTGTAGGTCGGCATCGTCGAACACGATGAATGGGCAATTTCCTCCCAGCTCCAATGTCAGCTTCTTCAAGCCCTCGCTGCAATGACGCGCAATGAGTCGACCCACAGTCGTACTGCCGGTGAATGTTACCTTGCGCACCAGCGGATGCTTACATAGACTCTCGCTGAGCGCAGGTGTGTTCGCCATGTCCGTGGTTAACACGTTGAGCACCCCACTGGGGAACCCTGCTCGATGTGCCAGGTCAGCAAGAGCCAAGACACTGAGTGGTGTTTCTGGAGATGGTTTGACTATCATGGTGCATCCGGCGGCTAATGCAGCCGTTACTTTTCTCAATATCATTGCGACTGGAAAGTTCCAAGGCACGAGCGCGACACAGACCCCAATTGGTTGTTTGATGACAAAAGTCCGCCGGTTTGATACTGCTGGTATTGCTGTACTGCCACGGATCCTCTCGGCCTCGCCAATGAACCACCAGACGAAGCTGAGTCCATAGTCTACTTCAAGCAATGCCTCGGCCATCGGCTTTCCAGTCTCATAGACCACGATCTTGGCAATGTCTTCCTTCGCACCTATAATGAGGTTGTGCCATGCGAGGAGCCATTTGGCTCGTTCTCTTGGGTTCGTGTAGCGATAGGCCTGGAATGCCCGCTGGGACGATTGGACGCAGTCATCCACGTCCAGGACCGATGTGGCTGGGCATGACGCAAACGGTTGACCAGTGCCAGGATCTGCTTCGGTCAATTCATGCTTCTACACAGGCAGTGACAGTGCTCCAGGCTCGAAGCTTGCCGGCTTCAACTCACCTATAACATCAAAACGCTGTCCAGATTTTGACTCTACCCACTTCCCATCTACAAGAGCCTGCTGATGCAGAATTGTGGAGTCGAGAAGCTAAAGACACAGTCAACGATTACTATTGCCTTATTCCTCGGAAAGCTTTCCAGAGGTTCTGGTCGAACATACACTGAAGGGATACTCTGTCATCTCGAAGATATGAATCCTTTAAGCCTCTGTGGAAAACTAGTACTTTGCTGGTTCTCCGAGCTATTGCTGAAGTACACGCCGAGCTCTGGGCTGCTCACCAAGCGAAGTGTTCGAGCCATATGTATCCGAAAAATAAACCAGCCGGCTGTGAATCTGACCGCAGCGTCACAGCCACCACCCTTGCGCCTTTCGACATTGAGTTGTCCCAGCGACAAATTTATGCCGGACCGGCTAGGCGCTTTATTGCTTCGTTGCTTCCTGCTGCCAACGGGGCCGGCAGGGACGGGGAGACCTTCAACTGCACGTGGCACACCGGCACTTGTGTGTGGTTGAGCCGATGCGGTCGTGCCACGTGGGGATACCGGCACCCGGATCACTGATCTGGTCGAGCTCTGCTACCGGGTAGATGCGCCTTCTATGAGCGATGCTGGACATTGTTGATGGCCATACGATAGGCCATCTGGTCGCTGGATAGACTTTAGTCTAGTTGTAATTCTAATTTCTAGTTATCTAGGTTCTCTTGCAGGAAACAGGAAATTCAGGGGTGGCTTCATTTCTCGGAACTTCTTGGGACGGTAGCATGAAGGTAAGGGATCCATGTTATTCAGTGAGGCTTTTCGATTGGGAAAGCTTTCCTCGTCAATACCTAGCAGACGAGTACATATCATAGACATCAAATGAATTGATCGTCGCAAGAGCTATGCTATCGGCGTTGGGAAGTCTCGTCCAGATGGGCTACCCCCACAAGGATGAGAAGGCTTGTCATTGCTCCTATCTATCACTATATTAACCCCACAGAAAATTCCATTTCTGAATGCCACGCTTGGGTTTCGGCAACGGCTCTGGGTTCTCGGTGGCCAAGAGAATGAAGCCACGGATTGGTGACTGTGTGAGTGGGACTATCTTTGTACCCTTTGCGTATTTATATCCGAAATAAAGCAGGATTACAACGGGGACATTCAGGTAGCTTGAAATGAAAGTCTCGGTGTCCCATCGGCCGCGCATGAATGTCTTGTAGCCACCCGTCAGATAGATGACGATGAACATGATCAACGATGCCCAGGTACACCAAGGCTGGAAAGGTGCGGCCCACGGGAGCTCGGTATGGCGGTCGATGTTCTGCGCTTTGCACGCATAGTAGAAGCGCAGATACGTGATGCATATGGTCATCCAATTGACCAGGGTGCTAATTGCGACCAAGTCCTGGAGCCAGGTGAACACGGTACTGGCGCTGCTGGATAGTGTCATGTATGCCAGACACATGAAGATGCCGTACAGGGATATGGCGATGTAGGGCACGCCAAAGCGGTTGAGGCGGGTGAAGAACTGCGGAGCGTGACCGTGCTTGGCCAGCGCGAACAGAATACGCGGACCGCCTAGGATGTTGGAGTTGCCAGACGACCATGCGGACGTCAACACGACGGCATTGATGATGCTCGGCACCACCTTGATGCCGGCCGCTTTCGAGGCGATGACAAAGGGAGACTCGGCTGCAGTACCGGTGGATCTGATCGGAGGAGAATTTGTGTCAGCAGGTTCCAACCCGCCACGAGTTTCAAGGCCACGATATTCTGACGGGTGAGTCTTACCTGAGTAACCGCGGGTCATCGGAGGACACGACCAGGCCGACCATGAAGATACTGATGACATAGAACATCAGGATGCGCCAAAATATGCGCCGAGTCGCCTTGGGGATAGCCTGACGAGGATTCCTTGTCTCTGCTGCCGGCAACGTGATATTTTCGATTCCAGAGTAAGCGTATAACGCGTTAGACATGACGGTCCAGAAGCCTACAATAGTAATACATAGTCAGACATTTAGTGAAGCGCGACCCTACCTGCCAGAGGGACTTTGGGAGGGGTTAGGGGGGTTTGAGAGGGGAGGGGGTTTAGGAAAGCCATCGAAGCTGCTACTACTCACCCAGGAAGCGACCCCATGATCCACTGATGCCCAAATACTGAACGAACGGGCCGGGATGTTTCCAATAACGGAACCCGATACTCTCGCCATTGGGTCCTCCACCACAGGTGATGACCAAGGCCATCAGATTGACACCAAGAACCAACAATATCTTCAGGGTCGAAAAGGCGAACTCGATCTCGCCGTACACGCGCACGAACATCAGCGCAGTTCCCAGCATCAGGAGGCCGAATATAGTGATCCATACGGCGCTGTTGACTGTCGTCGTCCAGAACTCGACCAAGACCGCGACGGCAACGAGCTCTGAGGGGATCGAGACGAGGTAGCCGTAGACCTCGTTCCAGCCATTGGCGAAAGCGAGAGCCGGATCGACAAAGTATTGCGAGTAGCGGACGATACCACCGCTCAAGGGGACGAGAGTGCCCATTTCGCCCACGGCGAGGACCACGGAAGACGCAGCCAAGCCGATGATCGAATACCCCAAGAATGCCCCCAGGGGCCCTGCATTCGCGACGGCCCTACCAGACCCCAGGAAGAGACCGGTCCCAATGGTGCCAGCGAGGGCGATCATCTGGATGTGTCGCTGCTTCAGTCCTTGTCGCAGCTCCTTGACCTCGGCCAGGACGCTCGCGTCCAGCGACCCAGGAAGATCTGCCAGATCTCCCACGGATGTTGTGACGTCGCCGAACGAGGCCGCCTGCATGTCCCCTTCGACCTTGAGCTCGTAAGGGTTCGTGGTCTGAGCCATGGTCAGGTTTTGCGCGCGCTGCACGCTGGAGGTCGCTACCGAGGTGGAGGAAAGGACGAAGAGGTGGTGTTAAGTGTAGAACACAGTCACGCGATGATTTCAAGCACGAGGCGACACGTCTCCAACCAAATCTCACTTTATAACATGTCAAAAACTGGTTTGAATGTCCTTGCGATGTCCTGGTCGCGCTCGGTTACCATTGGAGTCCGCTCGAGATAACAAGACGAGCAGTGATAGGGGCTTCTCTATCAAGACTATCTCTCCGGCCCGGTTCAAGTTGTGGGAAGTGGCCATGTTCTTTTGGAACTGGATCCGTGATGATGGCTCTGGCAAGTTTGTTTCGTTGCCCATGTCAAGGCGGGCCGGAAGAGAGCAGAGCCTATTACGTGGCCAGCTCTCCGGCCCGGTTAGAGTTTCATGGTGGGCTGGGGGACAGGTCGATCAATGAGCTGTTGGCACACGAGCTCAGAGATGTTTTCCTAAGATACGCTGATCGCCGACGTAAGTGGCGAAACATTCATTTCCCCTCATTTCGCTCAACAGATAGATCTTTGTCATGAGATGGAATCAAGCTGAATAAATTGGTGGGAGGCATTGACTTCCTGGAGATCTCGTCTATCGGTGAAGTCCGTCTTCGAGCTAATCGTGTCAGGCGCCACCAAATCATCCAACATAATTGTACATTGACGCGGTGACACTCTTTGCGCAAAGTTCTGCTAGATTATCAAAGCGTGATCCCGAAAGGCTGTAAATACCCCATAATGGAAGTTGAGAGGGCTGCCTATGAGCAATTCCATCATTCTGTGGCGGGTGTAGGAGGAGCCCGGAGTTCCCGATGAAAAAGCGCAGTACTCAACGTCTGGGAGGCCTCATTAAGGTACTGCTTACCAAAAGGTTATGAATAGGCATACTGGGCAAGACGTGGGAGAGCAAGTTAAGGACACTATGCAGTTAGGCACAGTCTACAAGTGAGCAAGGTTCTAAGGACTTACAACGGGCTCACAAAAGATGACGAGCGAAGGCAAAAGAGACGAGAATTTCGAAGAACATGGTTTCTAATCTATATGCTACTCGTCGCCGTTTCTAGGGAGTCTTTCAGATCTATTTTACAGTTGTGACCTGACTTTTACGTCTTCCTCCGGTAGAAAAATACGTCCTGTACCTAGGATGTCGCCTTCTTCCTCGCTGTTGCTGACTGCACGATCGATACGGGCTTGACTAGTTTCAAAAACCTTGGGAATGCCTGTCTCTGAAAATGGAAGATCCGTGCCTTGATGGGCGGCGGCGACCATTTTTGCCACTCCTTTCGACACAAGCCAGATCAGCGGCATGCCGTGTCCATTGAACCCAGCGTTGATGAACTGTCCCTCGAGTCCAGGCACGGTACCAATATGAGGGTGCGAATCGAACGAGTATCCCATCACTCCTGTCCAGATGTCGGTGATGCCGGCAGGGTAGGTTTTCCAACCGTGATACGTCCGTTGCATGTAGTCGTTGTAGTAGTCTTTGGCGGCATCGATCAGGGTGCTGTCATCCACATTGCGATACCACTGTTCTCTGAACGAAAGAAATTTGGCCAACGCTCCACCCACAACAATGCCACCATCGGTTCGGGGAATGAGATAGGAGAGCACTTTTTCTTCGTCGCGAATGATGTAGGAGTTGTTCAACAAGGGAGCTGGTAACTCATACCCTGACGGAGCGGCTATGTGGCAGCATATGCCTTTGCATGGAATGACATTGCGTTCGTACTGAGGCAACAAGCTTGCCACATACCCGTTGGTAGCATGAACCACATGGCGCGTAGATATGGTGCCTCGCTCGGTATGAACAATCCACCCGTGGTGTGAATCAGCTTGGATCGAGCTGGCAGGAGTATGGGTCTGTAGGTTCACTCTGCCAGTCGCGAGTACAATCTTGAGCAATCCCTGGATGAACTTGGCCGGCCACATAGTTCCAGCAGTGAAAGAGCCAGCGGCTTTAGCGCCTCTGACGCCAGAATACTAAGGTCTCCCATTTTGTGTCAGTCGGCTCAAGCAGTTTCTGACGTGCTTGGGAGGGAACAAACGCAAAACTTACGCCTTCGGCAGCCTTGGGATCTCTGGTGAAGAAGACATCCTTCATGTAGTCCAAATTGTAAGCTTGCATCCTGTGGTAGGTTTCAGCCGCCTTGTCGGCCGCCTCTTCATTACACCATACGTCAACGGATCTTTGTAGTGTGAAGTCGCAATCGATCTCCTCATCTTCTATGGCCTTTTTGATAGCCCACATATTGGCGATCTCGAATTCCGCTATCTCTGATGCTACCTTAACGCCATATCGATCGATGTATGTGGGTATATGGCCGTACATATCAGGCCGTAGATGACCTCCATTCCGTCCAGTCGCTCCGGAACATGCCCCCCGAGCTTCAAGTATCGTTATTGAAGATATCTCTGGAAAGTCTTTGGCGAGGTGGTAAGCGGTAGCGGCGCCAGCGTAGCCAGCACCTATTATCACAATGTCGCTGTGTTCGGGAAGTGACTCGGTCGTTCGATGGTCCTCAAGTCCTTGGGGTTCTCTGAACCAGACCGATTTCAGGCCAGACTTGACAGGTAGAAACTGGGACATGGCTTGGTCCGTTCGAATTTATCCGTCCTGTCGTTGAGCGCTCTTTCAGCTTGCATTCACTGAATCCCCCAGCCTAGTCTTCAGACTTTTAAATCGATAAAGCTTGAGCCGCTGCTTCGCTCGATTTATCTCGCTGTCGCCCAGCACAGTCAACGAGCAGACCACGTATCTCCTTATCAAAAGGGCTCACTTCACTCATGATCAGATCACGAGAATAGACTTCTAAAAAGTCGTAACCGGAGTAAACCGTCATCGTTGAGGTTTAAATTGACCGACTTATGCACGTTGCCGGACCGGCAAGTGGATCAGCCGGTTGGCCGACACCGCACTTGTCGACCATTGGCTCGCTTAATCAAGGTCAGTAGCCGGCAGATATAGTACCATTAACGAGATTCCTATCCCGTATAATATGTATGCCAAAGGAACTATCACTTCTAAGTGATGACCGAAAGTTGTACACGCACGGAGACGTAGTGATATGATTTCGGCGTAGCTACACTTCTTATGAATCTGGTCCGAGATATAAAAGTGTTGGCATGACTGTGAGCTAGCATGGGATACTTATATTCGAACATAAATGAAAAGCACTGTCATTTGTTATGCATTTGCAGGTAGTTAGTGAATCAAGATTCTATGAGAAAAGAAATCCCCGGTCGCGTCTGTTTGGACTTTCCACAGCAAAGATCCCAATAGTACCAGGATGGCGAGTTGAGCGTTGAAAGAGCTACCAACGCCGTATCTGATATCCACAAAAACCCAAGGCACGCCGTGGATCCTGCCAATTGCACATAGATCCGCATTGTTTGCCTTTTAGTGAGATGTGTATCCTCCGTCAACCATCAAAGCCGTACCAGTGATATAAGAACTTCTCCCACTGGAGAGGAACACGATTGCGTCTGCCACCTCACTGGCAGTTCCAAATCTGCGTAGAGGTGTCCATTGCTCAGTCTTCTCCTTAGCAACCGCTGCCACCACTGTGCCAGGTTGAATCAGAGGTGTATCGATATAACCGGGACACACTGCGTTGATGCGCAGCCCCCGCCCAGCATAGTCCTCAGAAGCAGTCCGTGTCAAGCCAATGACGGCGTGCTTTGAGGCACAATAAGCCGTCGACATTGGGACACCTACAACTCCGCATATAGACGACACGTTGACCACGACGCCGCGCTGCGGCGGTCGTCCATCCACCGTGGACACGAGATAGTCTTGCTTCAGCATCAACTTGGCAGCGGCGCGATACACGTAAAACGTCCCGTTGAGGTTGATGTCCATCACCCGGTGCCAGTCCTTGGTCTCTGCCTCTGCAGAGCCATCTGCATGTTTGAATGCGATTCCAGCCGCGTTAACCACGTAGTCCACTCGTCCAAAACAGTCTGCAATCTCATTGACGGCCAAGGTGACAGTATCCTCGTTGCTAACATCGACGACCTTTGTAAGAATGCGGCAGGGTTTCCCCCCTGATTGAATTAGAGATTCGAGTTCTGTTCGAAGCCTGTCGAGCGAAGACCCATTGAGATCGAAAAGAGCGATGCCCTTGGCACCAGCTCGGGCGAATTCGATCGCTGTAGCCCTGCCAATGCCGCTACCGGCTCCAGTGACGAGAGCGTAGCCTGAGATATCCATGTTCGCGAGAGACACTCATACAAAACAAACGTCCGTGATGCGAGAATCGATATGCTCGAAGAAACGTGGCACCTTTAAAGCCGGAATCTCCCCTTCAGAATAGAGCCACTCTTCATCAACTACCCCTCTCCACAGAGACAAAGTGTGGGAATTAGTATGCGGGGCGCACACTGAGATCTCTGTTCTATCCCAGCACAAGTACCGCGGCTATGGGAGATTGGAAGGCTTAGCCTCGGCGACTTGGCACCGGTGTTTTGGAGATATGCCGGCCGTTTCTAACTCGATCACGCGACCGTGATAGTGTTTTAAGATTTGTCTGGAGCATATACCTGCCTGTCTAGAAGATAGCTATTGCACAGGGAGGAGATGCGATTCCGCCCCGCACATTCAAGGGTGCACTGGTGAAGAAGAAACTCCATCTCTTTATCTTCGCACAGGTAGCGCTCAAGGCCTCTAGATTCCAGAGCTCCCCAATGGGTGTCCCCCATTGACAAAGAAGCCATTCATGGAGACAACAATCTGGTGGGTAAGGCCAGGCCTCGAAGCCCATTGTGTCTCCTGCCACTGCGGAAAAATGCTTCGAGTACAACCACCTCACCGTCTCCATGTTGTTGGCGAGTCCGATCATATGGTGTTGATCCCTTGTTCCCAGCTGCCGAGTAGCCGCATCTGCTGTCCTGATCCAAGGTCAAACATGGTCTCTCGCCTTAGTCCGCGAGGATGGAAACTTACTCGTGCCACTTGATAAACCCTGTCCTGACTACCAAGATATCTCCCTGACGAACTTCGGTATTTTGTGCTTTCAGAACCTGCTCTAGATCAGAGACAGGAATTGCGTACGTGGAGATGGCCGATGGTGCTGCCTTCCCGGGATTCTGCTGTTCCCACCAACTCAGCTGATTGTGTGCGTGGTTAGTAACTCTCATAAGAGCTAAGTAATGCGGTCTACTACCCAGTCAACCAGCACCCCTCTCCCGACGATACCTCCCCTATCGCATACATCTAAGAAATGGTATTAGTCGACTCGGGGTGCCTTTCACATGGGGAATTGATAGGCTTTTGATTTACTATGAATCCCATTCTGCTCAGTCTCACTGGCATCTTGTAGTGTTAGGCCATTGTAGAAAAGGCCTTGGCTTTGTATTCCAAACTAATCCCGAATATCAGAGAGTGACAAATGTGTGCTAGCGCTTGGAAGTGGCAATTGGGGGTCGCCCTTGCGTGAAAGATTGATTCGACGTGTCAAGGATTGGTACTCACATGTTTCAAGCTATCCCACTGTGAGCTTGTCTGGGTATTGAAGCAGATCTCGTCGTCGAATCCCACGAAGCCATGCTCGGCCAAGTTTTTGATCTTATGTTGAATGGATATGCGACCAAAGCCTGGGTGGTCGAGATTACTCATCGACCAGTCAAGTTGGACATGAAGACCACAAGAAATTTCCTTGGCTGCTGTATGCACCACTTCTGCAGTCAGAAGATTCAAGGCTGAACGGCCCAAATTAGAGCCTTCCACATAAGAGATATCTTGGAAGCTTAGTCAATGTAAGGTTGTTACCCACTTCCAAGTTGATCTTTACTACCATCTTCGTCAAAGAACCCCCAGAGACAGCCTTGCGGCTGGCCCTCCACAGCAGGGAGATCATCGAATTCGGGGAATTGGAACTTTGAAGCGGCCATCGAAGGTAGCCTCGATCCAAGCGCAAGGGGAACACAGAAGACAGCAAGGAAACCCCGAAAGGGGGACTTTAGGAATACAGGAGGGAAGCTGGTCAAGAAGTTAAGACAAGCTGGGGTAGACAAACCTTTTTAGGATGTAGCTTGGAAGTGCTTGCACACTGGAAAGGCACCCGGAACCGTAACAAGATCTGCTTCGGCATGGGCTAATGGATGTCAACAAGCATAACAGCAGACCCAGGTTGAAGGAAGCAATCACCTGTCCTTCAAATGTTGAGGTACTCAATACGGTAGTGTTTGATTCCCCACGAATTGCCAAAAATGAAGAAACCGAAGATGCCGAAATGCGGGGACTTATCCTTTTCGAAGCTTTCAATTCTTCCCTCCGTCCACAACTACAGAACTCCAGACCCCGCGGTTCGGGTTCTTTGTCACGATTTATAACTTCCGTTAAAGAGCAATCTCGGCCATACCGGCAACCTGCCAGATCTTGTGTCTTGCACTTGTTGCGAAATCCAACAATCCTGCAGAACGCAGGCATGGCTGAGAGTTACCACCCGCCCGGTAATCGAACTGCACTCGGTCTTGAACGCGCACGTGTGGCATGCCAACGATGCCACGAGAAGAAGGTCCGGTGTGATGCGTTTAAGCAAACGCCATGCTCCGGATGTGCCGCGAACGGCGCAAAGTGTGCACTCATTACCTCACAGCGCGGCCGGTAAGACTTTTCTAGGACCGTAGTCACCGCGACATGCTAGATCTCTGGCTGAGTGTTGCTATCATAGGTACACGCGGAAGCGACGAAATCTTCATTTCAATCGCGAGACACGTGACCATGAGACCTTGGATCCTGGCAAGCCTGCTGAACAACCCGCCATCACCATCCAGCCTTGGCCTCAACAGAGCCCCAGCTCTGGACACCACCGTCCGTCGCCGCGAAGCCAAGAGGATGATGACGGCCCAGAGATGCTCTACGCGCGAATAGCGGCAACCTCGGTCAGTGGTGAAGGAGAAACCATCCGCCCGTCTTGTGAGCCTTGTTTCTTGGGTGAGACTTTTAGTTTGACCTATGTTGTCCACGACGTGCTTGCACCCTTCTTCAGCAAAGGCTCGGCGTACCAGAAACGATTACATTTGCCTGTTGCCAACCCTGCACTGAGACAGCAGCCTCCCCTACGAGACAAACAAAGGGTTGCCAGTGCCCAGGTTGACCTCCTCAAGCGTCAGGAACTTCATGTGTCTCTGGAACCAGAGGCTCTGAACCACCTTATAGGTCTCTATTTTGACTTCTTTCATCCTGCCTTTCCAATCGTTGACAAGACGAAGTATCAGCGCGCTGAGCATGCCGATAAGTATTCTCAGCTGGTACTGAATGGGATTTTGATGATTGCTGTCACGCTCTGTGACAAGGCTGTTCTGAACACATTTGGCTTTGGCGATAGGCATGCGGCCCGCTTGGCTTTCTACAAGGCAGCGCGCTTCATATACGACTCGGACGCCGAGAACGACAAGCTGGATTCTATTCGTGGCCTCTTCCTCATGAGCTTCTGGTGGGGCGGTCCTAATGAGCAGAAAGACTCATGGCACTGGTTGGCCGTGGCCATCAGCCTGGCCCAAACACTTGGACTGCATAGAAGGTCTAGCGCTACTGATTACTTCCCGATCTCTGCTTCTGGGGGCTAACATCTTTGACAGTACCAAAACTTCCCGCATAGCGCAAAGCAAGGCTTCTGAGTGGAAAATATTATGGTGGTCCCTTCGGGTAGGCTTCGTGCTCCGAGATGCAGTTTTCAGATTTGTCACTCTCACTAACCAGCATTGCTTTGATAGATCCGCGATGTTCTCGTTAGTGCTTCCATTGGCCGTCCACAACACATATGGCAGGGTGACAGCGACGTAGACCATGTCGGACCAGAAGATGTTGCAGCGCAATTGGAAGGCTCGAGTCCGGAAGCCTTCCACTACTTCATTCAGACTGGGAAGCTTAGTTCAATCGGTACGTGGAAGAAATCGCGGATGCCATCGTCGCCTATGCGTTAATGTTGTGCTAGTCAGTCGAATCATTGCTTCGAGGTATTCATGTTCTCAAATACCATTTGCCCGAGAGGATCGAGCGAGCCTGGAAGATGCATTGTCCCAGTTTTACTCGGGGATTCCACCAGAGCTTCGTTTTGAATTTCTCGATGCCGAATCCAGGGAGGGACTGTGGGCTGCAATGTTGAACATGGCTTACAAGTGAGTTGATCAAAATCTCAACCGCATCGAAATCTTATCGAACTCATGTGATTGTTTAGTTTTGCGATGATTCTATTGTGCCGTCCTACCCGTGCACTGAGCGGCGAAGAACAGCTGCAGATATGGGGGAATCCTCGCAAGGCCGTAACCGCGGCAAATAGCATCACCCGGACCACAGAGGACCTCTTATCTGCCTCGATAATGACCCTGTGTCAGGTTCATACGTAGGTTGCAGAATCTGAGTGTAATGGATAATTCCATTGCTGACTAGTCAATAGAATTGCCGCACTGTTCAATGCCCTGGCCATTCACGTCTACACGATATGTAACGCTGATGCTATTAACAAAGGTCTAGCTGAAACGAGAGCACGTGTATGCATGATAGGCCTTCAAGCCATGGAAGAAGCGTGGCCTGTTGGAACCTGGGTGCTCAGGTTGTTTGACAGCATCATGGCTCGACTGAAAGCGCCCGTTCGCACTTCTTCGGCGAACATTCCCAAGCAGAGGACACAGAATTGCGAACCTCAGTCTAGGGAGCCGAAAGAGCCGTTTACCAAAGACGCAACAACGGCGGTTGACTCGGCCCTGGAAGCCTCCGACCTAGCACCCGATCAACCCGTCATGGCAGATGCTGAAAATCCCCAAGACATCAGCCATGAGCATGATATCGACCAGTCGGTCTTCGATAACCGCTCGTTCGTCAACGATGGACAATGGGACCAGCCTTACACAGAGATGGATGCCCGGGTATTATCGAGCGTATTTGCATTTGAGGAATCCATGGACCGTGTTAGTGCAGATCAGGGCATTTTTTTGCAGTGGCTGGATGATGGTTTGCTGCAAGGAACGGACCTGAACTCATGGAGTTGGTAAGATGCAAACCACTACCTCTCTCACAGCTCTTATGTCTTCTGCGGTGACCTTGGAAGTGTACCCACAGGCTGGGTTTGGTCTATCAGTGTTTACGGCGCAGCGTATATTGGCATCATTGTGACTGTGAGTGGCCAAAATTCTCTAGGACGAACTATTAGGCGACACTGAGAAGATTCAACTCAGAAAACTATGTGAATTATGCTCTCCAAAGAATCAATAGCATCAATAGATGCATAACTAGAGTCCTAAGCTCTCAATGATATTCTTTTTCGGTCTATGAGTGGATAGATCGTTATATTCGCCCCCTTTCAAGGAAAGAACTAGGAATCTGTACATGTTTGGCTCGTAAATATTCTGCCAGATTCTTTCCTAGCGCATCGTAACTTGAAGTGGCGGCTACGCCTCGATCCAGGTGATCTTTCAAGAGAAAATGGACAGCTACAAGATGTGGTCAGAGAAGCATAATGGCCAACCTGATAGAGTGAAAGACTTACAGCGAATATGGGGAAGCTCGAAGCGTTCGATGCGCTTTCCAGAATATGTATTCTGCAGAAGGGCTTTTAGGCCTTGCACCGAAAGGAGAGCCCGCAGCCATTCGTACTCGTCGTCGTTGGATACGAAAAAGCCAACATTTGCGTCAGACCCCTTGTCGCCGGATCGAGCATGAACCACATAACCCAAGGGAGCCGTGGTCGTGGGCCCGAAGCTCTCTAATGGGGAGACATCAACACTCTCCTCAATCTCCTGCTCAAACTGGTAGGGCACGGTGTCCGCCGGAGGGTCAATAGCGATATGCTTGTTGGCGAAAGGAACATGGGCGACGTGTTTAATACGGTCGAGCGGCACTGTGGTGACAAAGTATTCGAAGTATGGTTTGGGAAATCCATGTCTTTGCTCCATGCCAAACGTGGCTCCAGGATATGCTGACATGACCATATTTAAACAAGGCTTCAAGAAGTTTCGAGGCGAGACAGGCTCAATTGTCCGTGCTTGAGCGAATATGCGGAAGTCGACCGTCGCGGCGTCCTGGCTGGCTGGGTTGATAGGACAATCGCCGGTCGTGGTGAACACAAGCTTGGAGAATTTGTCGGTGTCGAGGCAAAAGCGTAACTGTTCTTCCAACATTTTGGCTTTTTCTGCAATGTCGAGACCAGTCATGAAATAGTGGACCTCTGCCTGATATCCTCCCTTTGCTGTGATCCCGACCTTTGTGGTCGCCGGAGGCTTCTCATATCCCACATTGCAGACATAGACCAAGTCTGGTCCCGTTTGCTCCATCTTGATCTGGTCAACTATGGCCACCACGTCCGAGTTGTAATAACGTTTGCCCTGAAGCTCATAGAGTAGCTGAGCTCTCACGGTGTTCAAGGAAACTTCTCCACCAACCTCTGGCCGATCCTCCATTCCGATCTCGAATGTGCCATCATGACGGATAGAGGCAATCGGCAACCCAAGAAGAGGCGTGGGGCCCCGCCGCATAGTCTTGAATCCAGAATAGTTGCCTCCCGTGACGTAGTACGAGCATTCGATTAGATGACCAGCAATGAGGGCATGAGCCAGCTCCGAGAGAGATTCTCGCGTCCAGTCATGCCAGTATGCAGCCGCCGCCATGGTAGGGGCTGCATCGGCTACCCTGCCACAGACAACGATGTCTGCGCCTTGGCGAAATGCTTCAGTGATACCCCAGCTGCCTAGATAGCATTGTGCATAGATGGGCTCAAACTCCCAGGACTCAATTTGTTGACCTTTAGAGGAATGTTAGTGTTCATCTTACTGTGATGCTAGAGATACTGACCTGTGGTAATGTTGCGAAACTTTAGGCCCTCTTTGCGACCCTGCTGAATGACATCGTACACTTCGTCGCCTTCCACCCATGCGGCTTTCAGATTCAGACT